CCCGCCATGCTGCTCGAGGGCCCCTACGGCAATGCCGAGCCCCTCCACACATTCGACCAGGTCTTGCTCGTGGCGGGCGGGTCCGGCATCGCCGGCGTCCTGCCCTACCTCCAGGACCACGTCCGCCGCGTCGAGCAGGGTGCCGACGCTGTCGGTGCCCATGGCCGCATTCCCACGCGCACCCGCCACATGACCCTCATCTGGGCCGACCGCAGCGAGGCGTGCCTGCGCTTCCTTGCCGATGGCCCGCTTGCCGGGCTGCGGAACCGCCCAGATGTCACTGTGTCTTTGCACCTGACGGGCACAAAACAGCAGCCCTCGTCCGTGTCGGACTCGTCCACGGCATCGTCCTGCGCGGATGTGGACGACGCGCACGTTGCGTCCGTCAAGGAGACGAGCGCTGACACGGGTGCCGACAAGGAGGTTGCTCTCAGTGGGTTTGCCACGGAAAAGGGCGTTGTGCTGCAAGGGGAGAGTCCTGCTGCTGCCGCCGTCACCTCTGGCTTCCGCATCCAGAGTGGCCGTCCCGATGTCCTCTCCGTCGTACGCAAGATGGCCCAGTCCGTCCAGGACACCGACGCGCGCCTAGGCATCATGGTCTGCGGGCCGAGCGACCTGGCCGACAATGTGCGCCACGCCGTGGCCCAGAACATGGAGTCGACGCGCGAGTCGATTGAGTATTTTGAGGAGAGATTCGGCTGGTAGAGGGAGGGGCGGTGGATGGTGTTAACAAATTGGTGAAGCGTATATATTTGATTCATGGCATGTTGTTATTGCTGCTGCTGCTTGTTGTTTTTAATCATGACCTGGTATTAAACATTGAATGAAACCAAAAAACACCAAGTTCCCGAACGTGATATGACGGCTGTAAACAAACACCAAGAGACCGAAAGGCGTAATGCATAAATACTAAATTCGTTTGTCTATATACGCTGGGGAGACACGAAAGTGATGACGTAAAAACAAAAGAAACACAAAGAAATAAAATAAAACACGGCCAAAAACCAAGAAACATGTACAACGTGTAAGCAATCCCATCGCCACAGCATTTACTGCGTCTCCATCTTGTCAAGGATGGCCTTGGTGAACTCGTGTGTCGTGGCCACGCCGCCCATGTCGCGCGTGCGCACCTTGCCCTCCGCAATCACGGCGTAGATGCCCTTGGAGATGCGGTTGGCGTGGTCGTCCAGGCCCAGGTGCCGCAGCAGCATCGAGCCGGACAGGATCATGGCCGTCGGGTTGGCCTGGTCCTTGCCCTTGATGTCCAGGCCGACGTGGCGGCAGCCCGGCTCAAAGACGGCCACGTCGCGGCCCATGTTGCAGCCGGGCACAATGCCGGGGCCGCCGACCAGCGCGGCGCCAATGTTGGACAGGATGCCGCCGTACAGGTTGGGCATGACGAGCACGTCAAACTGCTGCGGGCGGCTGACGCACTGCATGCTGGCGTTGTCGACAATCATGTCGTTGGCCTCGAGCGTGGGGAACTCCTTGGCCGTCTCGTGGAAGGTGCTGCGGAACAGGCCGTCGGCGAGCTTCATGATGTTGGCCTTGTGGATGCACGTGACCTTGTTGCGGTTGTTGGCCAGCGCAAAGCTAAAAGCGAACTTGGCGATGCGCTCCGACTTGGCGCGCGTGATGATCTTGAGCGACTCGACGACGCCCGGCACGCTCTGGTGCTCGAGGCCCGAGTACTCGCCCTCGGTGTTCTCGCGGATGATGCAGAGGTCGACGTTCTCGTGGCGCGTCTGGTAGCCAGGGATGTTCTTGATCAGCGAGATGGACGCGTAGATATCCAGCTCCTGGCGCATGGCCACGTTGAAGCTCTGGTGGCCCGACCGCGAGATGGGCGTGTGCAGGATGCCCTTGAGGCCGAGCTTGTTGCGCCGCAGCGACGCCACCGACTCCTTGAACAGGTCCTCCGTGCGGCCCGTCGGCGACGCCGTGTCCACGCCCGACACCTCGAGCTGCTCCCACTCAATGGGCACGTTGTCGGCCTTGAAGATGGTCTTGACGCTCTCGGCAACTTCGGCGCCGATGCCGTCACCAGGGATCAGCGACACCGTGTACTTGCCGCCGTACTTGGTGGGCTTGAAGATGTCCGACTGGACGGTCGCAAACGAGCGGGCGGCCGCGGGGGTGGGGGTGGTAGACGCAGCCCGGAAGAGGGACTGGGGCAGGCAGGGTTAGCAATGGTGCCAAGAGAACCAAGTCAATCGGCCGTGGCATCGTCGTCGTCGGTGGTGATTCGTGAGCGTGCGGTGAGCATCGTATTGTGACGATGTGCAGAGCATCATCAAGCTAAGATGCAGGGGGGGAGGGGGGGTGGCTAGCACGTGAAAGAGCCAGAGACAGCTTACCTGGGCCGCACGCGCGGAACGCTGGGACAGCATGGTTGTGGTCGAGGGTGGGCGCAAAATCAATCGAGGAGGGGCGAGGTTGGGAGGAAGAGCACAGCTCGAGGTCGATGGGCTCACAAAGTGGTGATGTTTTTGTGTTCGTGGCAAAAGCAGCAAGAGCAAATTCTGAGCGGATAAAAAAATCAAAAGCAAAAACCCGTTCAAAGGGAGTGATTGTTAGTCGCTCCTTCTGGGCGGTCGAGCCCGCGAAATGCCGCACCTGTTTGGGCCCAAAATGTGGCCCATTTCGGCGTAAAGGCTGCCGATAAGAGATTTGCAGCTGGTAGCAGCTGGCGGACAGAGCGAAATGTGGGTCCCGCATTGCAAAACAGGACTAGCGTCGGTCGTTGACAGCAGCCCCGACCAATCTCCGCCGTAATCCGTCTTTTCTCGAACAAAGCCGAAGCAAAAACGTAGGCACGCAGGGGAACGAGCGCTGATATTTTACAGTGGACAGAGTTCCACTCGCAGCTTCCGCATTGGGGTCACATTTCACCAACACGAAATCGCGAGGTGCAACACAGCTCCTTCCTCTGCACTCCTAATCCATCCTCGTCTAATTGCATTTGCACAGCTCAGGACCATCCGTAGATGCCCTCATCTCCTGTCATTCTTTCAACAACTCGACCTCACTGCCATGCATCATAGATACCCCCACCTTCGTCCGTATCGTAACTGGCTCCTCCCAGCCCGCCCTGCCCACTAACCCAATACGACGAGTTGCGCTGCGACAATGACATCAGCCAATTGTGCGGCCTCCTGGACGATGCAGCGACCATAGAAACAATGGCCTGCTGCTCGTCTTGTCGTCAATATGAATTACGGCTGAGCCAGCTAAGTAAACTGAGTGCACTGCATGATGTCTTCACGCGACAACGAAGATAATGCAAACTATGGAAATCATAAACAGGCATTTCGTCATTGTAAGGAGCTCATTGCGCCCAGTATGCA